CAACACTGTTCGCCACCAAAGTGCCACTGGGAGTTGAAGTATTTTCCCCCTGGAATGTAAAGCCAATTCAAAGTAAAAAAACTACAACTCCCACAATCCTCCACACTTCTCTCCAGAGTCTCTAGCAGTCTACATCCTCAGTGTGCCTCCTAGTGGATGGAGGGTGGTTTAGCACTGGCTGCTCTATGATCTGTAATAAAGAGTTTTCTCTGCTGTCAGACACAGAATACTTTTCCTGTCAGTGCTGCAAACTGGGATACACATAGGTTGAAGAAAAGACATATCCATGGGCCAGGACCCAAAAGAAGAAACGTTTCTTCATTCTCTTTCTCTTTATTCCTATACCCAAGAAGTAGGGAGTAGTTTTAGAACACTGGAAATTGCAGCTTTGCACTGTGGAAACGTTTCCAAACTCTAGATCAGGGCTTTTTTTAAATCCTTTTTACCTTTGAGGACCTCCTGTCAAAAAGTCTGAGATCTTGGGGAACCCTTGAAATAATTTTCATATGTTCAGTTCACAGAACATTGATGTAATCAGCGAGCTGTAGCTACAACAAAAATTATTCTTAGAGCTTTAAACAATAGAATGAATACTAAAACTTACCTCAACGTGTCACTTGTGCTTGCTTTTTTTTTTGCACAGATACTCAATTGCTGGTCAAATTTGAGATAAGCAGTGTACAGGTCAGCAGGGCAGAGCACATGGCATCCAGGAGGGAACACTATATATAGTGGCCAGGAGAGAACAGTACAGGGGGGGCAGGGAGAGAACAGTACGGGGGGGGGGGGCAGGAGAGAACTGTACAGGAAGCCAAGGAGAGAACTGTATGGGGGACCAGGAGAGAACAGCACAGGGGGACCAGTAGGGAACAGTATAGAGTTGCCAGAAGAGTACAGTACACAGAGGCCAGGAGAGAACTTTATGGGGGACCAGGAGGGAACAGTACAGAGGGACCGATAGGGAACAGTATAGATGTGCCAGAAGAGTACAGCACAGTACAGGGGGGCCAGGAGAGAAGAGTATGGTGGAAGCAGTACTGAACAGTATAGGGGGGCCAGGAAGGAACAGTATATGGGGACCGGGAGGGAACACAGGGGTGCCAGGAGGAAATAGTACTGGAAGGCACAATACTGAGGTCTGTAGCTGTTTTCCTCATGTAGAGTAGCTCAGGAAAGCTTCTAGATCATATCTGGTGCAGATCCCCCAGCCCTCCTCTCTCGGCCCTCTGGTGTGATGTCACACATAGGCACCCGGGACAGACAGAAGGCCGTCTAGGATCGGCGCAGGACAGTGATGCAAGTTGTTTCTCTCTGCGACTCTGCAGCTTGACTGTGAGCTATGTGGGGTTGTGATTTACTGTCTTCTGCTTGTGATGGACAGGCAGATGGTGGCAGAACCCCTGTGGACCTCTCACAGAAGCCCAGTTGAGGAACACCACTCTGGATGTTGGTCTCACCATTGTTATAAGAGGAAAATAAAAAACAATTTACTGACAAGACTATAGGTAAACATTGTGCTGTGATGGTGGAGAACATTAATAGGATGTTTTAAAGGTTATATCAATAAAATGTACTCTCTTACCTGTCAATGAAGGCCTGATAGGAGGACAGAAACGATTATCGACTATATCCCAACAATCACCCAAATGTATGAGGTACAAGATGGAGCCCACAAGCAAACTAAATTGGAGTCTTTCCCCTACAGTGCCCCCTAGTGACAGAAATGCAGATTTCTCATTTGAGAACTGCAATGAGAAGTACAATGTTTCTTGAACTGTATTCCAGAATTTGCGCATCTTCGGCTGAGAGAACTTTACATAAAGTCTCAGAAATCTTCCATTAAGGTCTTTATGTTATAAAGCTTGAATACAATGTCAGATATATTTATCATTTTAAAAGTACATACTCCACACTTCTGTTTTTATTCTTTTCAAATTTTCTGAAAAAAAAAAAAAAAAAAAAAAAAAATGGCTTTGGAAAAAAAAACTTTTTTTTTTTTTTAACCAATTTTTCCATTTTTTTCCCAGGACTTCCCAACTCTAGTCACTACTATTGATGGGATGAACACTCCCATGTTCGGTTAGCGGGCAAACATTTGAACCTACCGAAAGTTTGACCGTGAACTTCAAACAGGACAGTTTACTGAGCGGTATCTTACTGCATCAGAGTATGCAGTAAGATAATGCTCAGTTACTAAAATACTGCACGAGTTATATTGTCAAGTCATGCGGTATTTTAGTAGCGAAACATTCATTCATGTTTAAGCTGTCAGCGGGGTTCCCTGCTGACAGCTGAATGTCAAAAGAATTAAAGGCATTGCCCGACAATTAAAACTTTTTTTTTTTTTTTTTTTTTTTTAAAAAGGCATAGGGTCCCCCCTCCCATCCATACCAAACCCTTCGGGTCTGGTATGGATTTTGAATCAGGGACAGCCTATATACTCTGCATCTTACTCTCTAGTACAGGGTTTCTCAACCTTTTTACCTTGGAGGAACCTTTGGCAAAACGTTTGAGTCCTCAAGGAACTGAAGAAATATTTTCAGATCTACAGCTCACAGAACATTGGTGTGATCAGCAAGCTGTTGATATAGCAATTATAACAAAATAGTAAAGAGTAATATTAAAATTTACCTATTTAGTGTGAAACTTGTGCTTGCTTTTTTCTGCACAGATGCTCAGTTCTGGTTCAAACTTGAGATAAGCAGTGTACAGGGGGGCAGCATGGCAAAACACATGATGGGGTCAGCACAGTAAAATATAGGGGTCAGAAGAGCACAGAGGTCAGCAGTAGACATGTGCAGAATGAAAACATTTGTTTAAATTTCAGATTGATTTGCTAGGTTACTAATTTCGTTTTGTTGCCTTCGTAATGAAATTCGTTTTTGGCTGGATTCAAATTCGAATCGAAAACTAAAATATCTGAATTTTATTCTATTTGAAATTCAAAATTTGAATTTCACAAGACAGCTATATTTTTCTTTTGTATTCTACTCAAAATTTGAATTTCGATCAACATTTATATTCTTTCTATTCTATGCGAAATTTGAAATCCAAATTTCATAAGATGGTCATATTCTAGTCTAGATTCATAGTCACCATTCTCATAATTTTTGGACGGTTTAGATATTACCATATCCACCTTATGATTAAGTGGTGTTCACAATACCATTTTTTGTCTAGATACTCTATATGATTATATCATGGAATTATAGTAGCGCTGCATGTTCTTGTTTGATATATATTCTAGTCTACTCTATTTTTTCTATTCTATTTTTTTTTTTATTTTTTTCCTTTATTTGTTATTCTATTCTTTTCGAATTTAGGAAGACAGCTATATTCTTATTTACGTTATTCTATTTGAATTTCAGAAGATATCTATATTCTTTCTATTCCATTCTATATTATTCGAAATTGAAATTCAGATTTCAAAAGATGACTATATTCTATTTTATTCTGTTCTTTTCTATTCAAAATGGAAATTTGAAAATTTGAATTTCAAAAGTTGGTTATATTTTTTCTATTTTATTCTATTCTAAATTGAAAATCGAAATTCAAAATTTCAGAAGTCTATATTCTAATCTTTTAATTTCTATTCTATTTTTTTCTATTCTGTTTCATTCTATTTTATTTGACACACCGCAGGATCGTGGGACAGGTAAGTGTCTGTTTTTTTAAAAGTCAGCAGCTACAGTTTTTGTTGCTGCTGCATTATTTTTTTCACTAGAACTACACTTTAAGCCAGCAGCAGCAAAAAGGTTTCTGACAGCAAAAGGGTTAAGACCATATTATTTTCTAATGGTAGATCCTAGCAGGCCTGTTGAAGTTGAGCATATTGCTGTATATAAAAGAGATCCTGTTTTTTCTTGTTATAATTACTTTGTAACATTTAGTAACAACTTTACAAAGCACTGATCAAAAGTGAAGAGTTCATAAAAGGTAAAAATTTTTTTTTTTTTTTTTTTTTTTTTAAATATCCTTTTATGTTACAGGCATTTATGCAGCACTGAAGATTTACAGAGTAATTTACATATATATTTTGTACATTTACATCAGTCATTGCCCACAAGGAGCTTACAATTTAAGGTTCCCAACGCACATCATACATACATACATACATACATTAGGGCCAATTCAAAGAGCAGCCACATTATCTAAAACGCATGTCTTTGGAGCAAGGGAGAAAACCCCGAGTACCCGAAAGAGTTGCATGCAAGCACAGGGAGAACATGCAAGCTCCATGAAGGTAGTGTCATGGTTGGGATTCAAACAAACGACCCTAGTGCTGCTAGGCAGCAATGATATTTTGTCTTGACAGATTTCTTTCAAGATCATTTTCAGAATTCCAAGAAATAATACTGCAAATAAAAAGACCCATGGGGTTTATTCCAGCAGCAAATACAATATCACAATTCTAGAGACAAGGCACTTGTTATATAATGGCAATGAAACTGCATCAGTTGCTGGTATGGGGTAAAAAAAGAGTATGTTGTGAAATATTGACAAAAGTGAGTTATCTGCGAGAGGGAGTGTTCACACTTCTGCAGTTCCCATCTCACAGGAAAGCTTGGGTCTTTTATACATGTAAACAAGCTGCGTCACTACATAAAAGAAACAGTTTTCAGGCATAGTTCAATGCTAAAGAATGAAATTGAGTGCTTGGGATAGCTTGCACCGCAAAAAATGTTCAGTTAGCCAACAATTGGTATCACCTACCCAAATCACTGTCCTGTCCTATTGCTGTCTATGGTCTATGGGTAGCAAGATACAGCACCAGTTTGTTTACACAACTAGATAGGTAAAGTAAATGTGCTCTATTCCTTTAGTAAATCACCTTTGTGTTTTTAGTACATGTACCCTGCTGCATTATCGATTGACTATCAGACACACAAGTGTGAACAGACCCTACAGCCACCGATCTTTCATGATATACAAATTCCTGTGTTTTGCTCAACAGTTCAGTTGGGTAGAAGGTTTAGTATTGTTCCAAAGTGGATGAACTGTCAGAACTTGACAACTTTTGGAGTCTTTGTGGGTACTTTTTGGGCTTTAGGAATGACAGGAACGTCTTCATGATCTGCACTCATTCCGCTTGTCCATCTGCCAACTGTCATCTGAGCTGTGTACCAAAAAAAAAAAAAAGAAGTTATATTTACATTAAAAACAGGTCTTAAAATCCATCAACTAAGAATTATATACTGCAATATGACTTTTCTTTTTGATTATAACCACTATAAACAGTTCAATTATTACAATGGAACTTTAGTCAGAAAATTAAGTACTTCTAGATCACGTTATGATGGCCCCTTTTGCAGGTATAGCTATGTAAAACATTAAAAATAAGTGCCTCTACTGTTTAAAATCCACCAATACACAGTCTTACCCTGCACTGCACATGCTCAGTTGCTCACTATTTTTCAGTGCTGTGCTGAAATGTAGAGGCTGATCTGTTGACGGTCTAAAGATTTACTGCTGCTCAGGGGCTCTGGACTTCAGCAAAATGACAGCCACTCACAAGAAGAGAGGAACAATGCTGCAGGCAATTTACAGCACACCATGATAGTGGTAGCATAACTATTAATGTGCTAAAGAACATTATTTTTTTTTTTAGTAAGTTATTATGGGTAAAGTTCCACTTAGACTAGATTTGGTTGTACAATTTCCTTTATATTTACAAAAAGTTACATAAAGTAAGATGCCACTGACAATTCATTTTAATTTATAACCAATCAGTTAAGCCAATGCACTATATAATTGTTGGCAGATTGTACAATCAGATTGTAAAATGTTGTGTTGAACATGATGCAAGTTTTTTTCTTGCTGACCACTGTGTAACGACCAAAGTTTTAGAAAGGTTTCATTTGATCCTATACATTATTTATTAAAAACTTAAATATTCTTAAAGCTGAAATCCATGTAGATATATACAAATGAATGTACTTCTGTATTCATTTATACATCAATAAATGTATTTTAATGCAAGCAAGCAGTACAAGTACATGATTCTCCCAACTCACCGATTGGCTGGTCTGCTAGAACCCTGGGGGAAAACTCTGATCTGACAGAACCAAATCTTAAATGAGGTCACTACAGCAAAGCCAAAGATGGCTGTATACATCACCACCAAAGTGACCAGATCAGTTCCCGTGGCATTTGAAAAGGGGCAGTCGGTGCAACTAGTGACTGACACCAGACATGTTTACAGAAAAAAGGCAAAAGCTGGCCACCCCCTTTCCCTCCTCCTAGAGGAGTTCACCGACTCCACGAGTATCTCTTACTGTTTATTTTCAGCCAAGAATCCAATTTGATTTAAAACATTCACTGAAGAAAAAAAAACAATTCTCCACCTGGACTGATTTTTTTGTATTTAGCGCCTTTTCTTCATTGCATTGTCGATTACCTCCTATACATGGCATAGTTGCATTATACCTCCTAGAAGTACTTGTTAGAACACCTGCTCAATAATTAAAGATACCCATTTATAAAGAATACTTGCTAAATAGCTCTGCCCTTGTTAAGGGATGAGATTATACTAAAGGCAGTGCTGTATTTTGGGTAATCCAGTGTAATGCATTTAGATGCATCATAGGCATAGTCCTAGTTACACTACTGAACATTTAATTCAGGGCAGAGCCTATGTGAAGGGGACATGGTCCGTCTGCATCAGTCTAGAAGTCATTGATCCAGCAGATGACCATATTGACTCAGAACTGCTGCATTAGCCACTTGCCCTTTCTGAAACTTTTTGCTTACATAACAAAAACGGGGGGGGTATTGCAATTTTTTAGGTCACACAGTAATTGTGCAGTGGTTTTTCAAACGCAATTGTTTTTTTTGAAAAAATGCAGTTTAACCATTAGCTGCCCGGCCAATGGCCGTTTGGCGGCTTCAATTGTGTCCCTGCATTCCGGGTGCACGCCATTTGGCGTGCTCCCGCACATGCGCCGTTTGAGCTAATGCAGAGCGGCGCAGCAGTGCGATCCGTCAGCGGCCGTGCACCTCAGACACGGCCGATGACAGATCCGACTACCGGCTCCCGTTGCTGGTACCATGTGACCTGCTGTGACCAATCACAGCAGGTCACATGACAGTTGTATACAATGGATGGCTTCATTCATGATGCCATCCATTGTATACTAGTGCCTAGCTGTGAATGGTCACAGCTAATCACATGCACATGTCATGTGATTAGCTGTGACCAAATCACAGCTAAGCACAAAAAAAAAAAAAAAAAGAAAAAAAAAAAAACCTGAATGAATCGATTTCATTCAGGTAAATGCTTGCTTATAGCAAAGTAATTCTTTGCTATAAGCAAATTGTGTAAAAAAAAAAAAATACTGATCACTTCCCCAAAGTAGTACAATGTTACTATGGTAACATTGCACTACTTTGGTCAAAGTAAAATATGAAAAAAAAATCTTAAAAAAAAAAAAAATTAAAAAAAAATGTAATAAAAAATTAAATATAATAAAAAAAAAAAAAAAAAAAAAATATATATATATTTTTTTTTTTCATACTGCCACCAGTCAGTGTCCCTGTTCACCGCCATGCCAGTTATATGATGACGCTGTACTGCACTGGTGACAATATGTAAAAAAAAAAAAATAGTGAAAATAATTTTTTTAATTTTTTAATTTTCCGAAAAATTATGACAAAAAAAATACAACTTCAAAAAACTCGCCTCTTATGAAGTACGTCGGACTGTCTACTCTGCAAAAAGGGGTCATTTGGGGGATATCTGTACTGTTCTGACATTCTTGGACCTCAAGAAATTAGATTGGCCGTCAGTACTTCAGGATTGATCAATATTCAGATCTATACCATAGTTTGTGAACTCTATAACTTTCCTACAAACTAAAAAATACATCCTAATTTGGGTTATTTTCACCAAAAAGACATGTAGCAGAATACATCTTGGCCTAAATTTATGAAGAACAATAATTTATTTGTAAACTTTTATAACAGAAACAAAGAAAAATGTGGGTTTTTTTCAAAATTTTTGGTCTTTTTTTGTTAATTTAGCAAAAAATAAAAACCCCAGCGGTGATTAAATACCACCAAAAGAAAGCTCTAGTTGTGTGAAGAAAATGATAAAATTTTAGTTTGGGTACAATGTTGTATGACCGCGCAATTGTCATTCAAAGTGTGAGAGCGCTGAAACCTGAAAACTGACCTGGGCAGGAAGGTGTAAAATTGCACGGTATTGAAACGGTTAATGAATTTTCATCCAGAGAATATAATTTCCAATTTTTGTAAAATATAAAAGATGGATGGAAATCGATACCAAACATGTCACACTTTAAAACTGCATCTGCCCATGGAATAGGGCCAAACGACAGTACCTAAAAATGCCCGTAATCGACACTTTAAAAGCCTTTACAGTTTATCACTTTAGATTTATACAGGAAGTCTGGTACTAGAATTACTGCCCTTGATCTGACGTTCTCGGCGATTCCTCACATGGGGCAAATCCATGTTTACGTATGCGTGAGGGACTGATGCAAGTGTTAGCCTTTGTGCATGAGCACAGGGTGATGGGTGTAGTTTAATATTTTTTTACACTGTCCCTTTATTTTTTAGCACTTTTATTGTTATCACAGGAAATATGAATATCCCCTGTGGGCAGTGACAGGTACTTTTTACTCTCTGACCTTCACGGCATATGATCACATCAAGATCGATGTTATCAGATGCTCTCCCATTTTAAAAAAGGCGCTGTTCACATCCACGAAACTGGAACTGATGTATGCAGATCTTTGGTCTGCCGGTCTCCAATCAGGGCCCAGGAGAGCCACGGAAGGCAGCTTCAGGCACCAAGCTAGTATTACCACCAAATTAGTATGTCGCTGGTTGTCAAGGGTTACAGCATATCTAAACCCAAGAACAAAAATGTAAAGTGTTGCTGTATTAGTTTGTTTTCACCCAGTGGTCCAGAAAATAACACACCTCCTGCTTTAGGGTGACAACACTCACTCCCTGTACTGTATTTATAGGAGGAGCAGCAGCATTGTCACCTTAGAACAGAACATGATTTAGGGTTACAACACCATAACTGAGAGAACCCGAAACAATATTACACAGGGAAGCAGAGGCCATTTTCCAGTTTACTAGACTTCTGGTAGGATCTAACACTTATCAAACAGATATACAAAAACGATTTGAATGGTATATTTGATAGAACAAAAAGGGAGCAAACAGGACAAAAACATTGTTAGGGTTAAATACACTTTAACATAATATTGCCAGAATAAAAGATATTTGTGGAAATAGATCAGAAACTATTGCATTGTACAGTGACAGAAAGATATGCCCCAAGTGTTAATTATTCTACTTATTACCACATAAGAAATTAATGACTGCATCATTCAGTGTACCAAAGACAAGGCAGATTGCCCCATGTACAATTTATACCCTCAAGCTGAGCTATAGGCAAAACTTTTCAATTTTGCAAAGAGTTAAGGGAGAGTTATAACCTGTCAGATTTTTTTCACCATCTGTGTCCAATTGTGGAGATTTCCCTTCCTGTCCTATGAACAAACAGGAAGTGAGAGGAAATCCTCACAAAATTAAGAGAATCTTTTGGGGTCTCTCAGGTCACCAGAACTAGTGTCCTCATTGGAAGCTTTCCCCTCTATTACTTTTCTGGGGACAGAAGATCCTTAGTATGCACATTCAAAAGACCTACTTTCAGACTGTGTTCGGAGTTCTCTTACTACAGCAACTGTAGTGTTGGTCCTTTTTACAGCATGCTCTGTCAGATTGCTATGATTGCAGTTAGATCTTGTGTTCCAGCAATTTCACTCTTTGTAAGGGCTGTATAATCTTGAAATTAGGCCAGCTTTTAAAAAAAAAAAAAAAAAAAAAAAAAATCCCCTCTCAAAAAATTGGGGTGCCCAAAAGTTAAACATACAATGGTTAGGCCCTGCAAATTTATAGGTTCCATGAAGTGATGTTAAAAGTGATTGTAACGCCTCACGTATGCCCAGCAGAGTGACTGGCCTCAGGTGATACAGAGATGAAAAATCCTTCTACATAAGTTGTACCTGTCTATCCACAGTCTTCTCTACATCCATTTACAGTGCAGAATGTATACAGCTTGTCTGAGCTTCCAGAGAGCAGGGGGGTGGGGAGCTCAAGTTACACACAGCAGAACTCAGTGAGAAGAGCTGATTGGAGGGAAAGGACACACACCCCCTTCACACAGGAACAGAGCTGAAGCAGTCAATCACATGCTGTGTGCTGTAGCTCCCTCCTGTCACTCATGTTGATAGCAGAGGAGCAAGCCAGTGGACAGAAATGGAAAGGCTCTGGACTGAGACAAATACACACTATAGAAGAACATGCTTTGTTCATATTTCACATCTGAGGTTTATAACCACGTTAACACATTAGGTCATGTGACCTGTGGCAGCTCTGCCTTGTGGTCAGTGATGTTCGTTAAATCTTCATTCACTGAGAACTCTTTGTAATATTACCTGATGTCTGATGTTCTGGACAATCTCTTTGGAAATGCTCAACGGAGCCACAAATCCTACAGCTTCCTCCTGAAGAAGAAGAATGAAGAGGTGTATGAAAGTCTAGTTACTTTTCAGTCTACGTTCTGCAGTGAAAATGTGGAAAACTGCTGTGTGACCTAATAGCTATATGATAAATTTAAAAGCAATTACTCGTGAAAAAAATAAACGTTGTGATCTATGGTAATGAATATTAAAAGTGTAGGGAAAAAAAATGCTGCTCCAAGCATTAATCATAATGCAGCTATGACTTATCGGTTGGGCTCCCCTAAAAATACCATTACCTAGCCGACAATTTGGCTCTTACATTGGCCAGAAACAAGTATGAAAAGCAGCAGTTCTGACTTTGAAATGATTGAATTCACTGCATTAGTAAGACATTTTCAAAAAAAGAACAGCAGTAGCACTTTCCATATTTCACTCAGTACTGGATTCCTTCAATGTAGCCCTTTATAAACTAAACTGAAGGTAGGAGGACAATTGCGCAAAAATGAAAACAAATATAAATTCCAGATCTGTTTTCAGTATCTAAACAGTGTTCTGGTTCTTAAAACTCGAAAATGAATACAAAATGACTGAAATACATACCTTCAGCATATAATCCCTTGGGATTGTCTGGACACGACCGCGATAAGTGGCCCATCTCTCCACATATGAAGCATTTTGCATATGGGAACTCTCCTGAAAGATTTGAAAGTGAAATATTACTATTCTGACTTAGTAAAATAATAGCTGGCAGACACTGCTTTAATCTTCAGAACATTTACAATGTGCTGGCTAAAGACTTCTTGTCTCCAAATTTACCATTCCTCAATACTGCCAGTTATCATGAAACGTTCAGCAGTCAAAGAGAATAGTCTGCGATGCATTATACCCAAAGAGATGCTCCCTCCTTTTAAGGACTAAATAAAATCTTAAGGAAATATGAAATTTGTTTTTAAATGTTACCTTTCAACAATTCAGTTGAGCAGGTGAAAATCTAGGTTCTTTTTCACGTTTACATGGCTATTCTTCACCTTTTACAGAACTCAGGGCCTAAATGATACACACAGCAACAACCCCTACCTGCCTGTTCAGATGGACCATCCAGACTTATATTAGAGAGAGCCTGAAATAAGCAGCTTCTGCTTACATAGCGCTCTGACACCAGTGTCATGGAAGCGCCATGGTTAAAATTGTTTCTGTAAATAGCCCATATTTACAGTAAATCTAGTAGTTAGTTGGATTTATTCTATAACACTGACATTTTGTAGTATATCCAAGTCCCTTTTTTAGTTTTCATGAAATGTAAGGAAGATATGCCAGCATTTATATTCACACAGGTAGCAGAGACACGTTGATCCAATTACAATGGAAAGGCAAATATTGATTCAGCAAGTACAGGATGGGAGGTGTGAAAGTTGTGCGACCACCCTGTCGTAGTTACATTATCCCATCTTTGGTGTCAGAAAGACTTCATGGGTATTACTACTTCGACTGAGATGGCTAAAGGTGTATATTGCTGTCAAAACTTCAGGGTAGAAATGTTAAAATAGAATATGTGAAAGACAGATGATGTTTTATCGTCCCCAACCCTGTTCAAGGATGGTTGTTCAAGAGCGTCAACTATTTTCAGTTTTAGTTTTCTAGACAACTGCTTACAAGAACCCATGGTGCTGATTGTTGGGGCAAGGTCAGATGAGTCTGGGCATTTAAAACCTTTGAGATTGACATCACCTGGTCTTCCCAGACGATGATTGAGAACAATCCATGACACTGGCAGGTCTCAGCTTTGGCAAAGGGGGCAGTGCATGCTATAAATTCTGCAGGGTGCCCAAACTTTTGCAGACGCCATTTTTTTGTTTTCTGTTATTTTGAAAGTGTAAATGATGGAAATAAAATCTAACTTTTGTTGACATATTATAATAATGTCTAATCTGTAATTTGATGCCTTTTGGAGATTTTTCCATCTTTCCTTGGCTTCTTTATGCACATTAATACAAATTTTTAGCTGGGGTGCCCAAACTTTCGATCCCCACTGTACAAATGAGATGGCTATATTACTCTGTGTGTTCTGCTTCTTCCTTCTGTTCAATGGACATGTATTTTTTGCTGACAGTGGTTGGAGCTAAAAAAATTGGCTTGGATAAGCTATGAAATATCTTCAACATTACAGAAAAAAAAAAAAAAAAGCTGAATGTGAGCAACTGCTACTAGTTAAACCAGGGGTGTCAAACTCAATTTCATCACAAGCCGCATCAGGGTCAGTTTTAGCTGCAAGACGAGATGTCCAGAGCACACCACCTTCCCTTTACATCAGATGTCCGAAGCCCCCCCACCCCACTATCACAAGTCAAGAGTCCCCCACCCTCCCTTACATCACAGTGCACCTCCCCTTACCTTGCTGCTGCTGGGAAAAGGCTGGGCAGCAGAAAGTGCAGGGCCTGGAGGAAGACCAGAGGAGGGCAGGAGTCAGCTGCAGCTACATGATCTGTCGGAGGAGTTCTGTCCTCTCTGCTACTGGCTGCTGAGACAAGTTAGGTGCTATAGCTGCAGGAGGGATGCGAGGGCCACATGAAATGACCTGACAGGCCTGATTTGGCCCATGGGCCTTGTGTTTGATACATGAGAGTTAAACTATAACATGGATAAATGAGAACCTTCACAGATCGCTCTCATGTAAATCCCTTATATCAGCTTTATGAAGGTTGATTATATTCTAAATAATGGAAAAATATACCAACACAGTAACTTGGCACTCATTTAAAAACCAGAGGACATTCCCAAGAAATAACCCTCATATGTACCAAGAGCTGGATCCACTTTGGCTCTGCATTTGTTGATTTCATGTTCTGTTGATCCACATCGAAAGCAGATTCCTGTACCCATCTCCTGACATCTTAGAGCCTCCGAGCAGTCAGCCATGCCATGGCCAGGCTTACGACAGTGAAAACAGACCTGGAAAATATAAAAGTAGGCCACATGTCATACACGATCACCAAACACTTGGCGGCTGCAAAGAGAATCCATTCAGGTTATGCCCATAATTCATCAGACCAATGAAATAAGACATCTTATTACTGCCATGATCAAGATCTCCACTGTGCTCTTGTTTACTACATTTTTCAATCTGTGGCCTTGGGATGGTTTTGCAAATCAGAAGCCCCTATCTACGAAGCTGAACAATGCTGAAAAATGCCCAAAGCCAGCTATCCAATATGTTTTTTTTACATTGAGCTAACGCACTATAAAGCACGACACATTAGTTGCAATATTTTAAACAATTTAACTGTTCCCTAAAAAGGAAAAAAAAATGGAATCTATTCCCCAAGCATGTAAAGTGGACCATTCATAATATGGTCATTAACTGTGTGACATACCTATGACACACAATTATACCCACAAAAATGCATGCTATGCTAAAGAAATCATAGTTAGATATGCGCTGAGAAAATTTTGCCCGGAATCTGCGCTGTTCAAAAAAAACAATGATCAACTTTTATCCACTTAAAGACCACCCATCCGCAGTGTACTGTGGATGGGCGGCAGCTACAGGCAAAGTGATGAACTGGTATGTCGCTCTGCCTTTCCCAACACAAGGGGGTGCAGTATGCCCACTGGAGGGCGCAGCACGTCACTACCCCCCCCCCTCCCGTGTCCACCGGATACATCAGAATGAACATCCCAATGAATGGGACCCGCTGATCATGTGATCACTATGCAGTCACATGATCACAATGCTAGGCAAAGCTGTTATGAATCAATCTGATTCATAACAGCTTGCTTTGCTTCTCTTCCTGGTGAGCTGTGATTGGCCCACAGGTCTCACATGGTACATGGGGTCAAATTACAGCTCCCTGTACCATGTGACCAGCTGGAGCCAATCACAGAACACTATTATTTTGAACTGCCATGAACTTAAGTCATTCATGACAGTTCAAAGCAGGCACTGCATTGCAGGAGCAATAATGTTCATTGCTCTTGCAATGCAAAGTGTAAAAAAAAAAAAATTTATCTCTGATCACCCCCCACCAGACTAATAAAATGTTACTATGGTAGCTTTCCACTACACTGATGAAAGTAGTTTTAAAAACAGTAGTAAAAAAAAAAAAATAATATTGAGACAATTTTTCTTTTTCTTAACTACTTGCCATCCTGTTTGCTGCGGATCAGGGCAAAGTGACGTACCTGTGTCGCTTTCTGTTTCTGGGTGTGTGTGCGCATCCCCACTGCCCCCCCCCCCCATCAGTCTAAGGAGAGTGAACACCACACTGTATATCAATATATTGATCAAATAGAATTATACTAGTGCCTCCTTAAAAAAGTGTTAGCAGGATCTGCCCCATTCGCTGCCAGCACTAGCGTTTAGCCCCTCCTCTGTTTTTCACTGAAAGTTAGTATCAAATAATTGTGGGCCAAAGCAGTTTTTACATACAACAATATATGGGCCGCCCACCAAGTTCAGCTCTTGCCAGACAATCTGCTTGGAAACCTATCACAGTTTTTTTGGGCCTTAACCCTCAACATGGGCATTACGAAAAAGAATTAACTGCGGTCATATTGGTCCACAGACCCGATTCATCAAGTGTCCATGTTCTCTGCTGTTACACATATGCCCAACAAGGACCAGCTACATACTGGTACATTACTGGACTTTGAGTGGTTATACTAGGATGATGCCTGCAGCTACAAGCATCACCCTGGTATTGTTTTTTTTTCAGCTGGGGGTCGCCTGTTATGTAAAAACAATCCAGGTGGCTAATTAGCCACTGGACCGCTTTTACAAGCAGAGGGAAGGGACATCCCCCTCCTTCCACTGCTTTCTTGGACTCTCCCGTTCCACCAGGGAATTTGAGAATGCAAGTGGCAGTTCCGCTGGCTGACCATAGAGCTGACCAGAGATCAAAATGGCTCTTGGATCCTGCCTCCTGTGGCCTCAAGGTCATCACAAGGGCAAAAAAAGCATTATTATAGAGAAAGACAAGTAAAAAAGAAAAATAAAAAAATATATATATATATATATATATATTTTTTTTTTTTTTTTTTATTATTATTATTATTATTATTATTATATTATTATAATAATAATAGAGAAGAGGGAATAAAGGAAAGGGAATATATAAAAGATATAAAAACTGCCCATGAAAGATTTCACTTTCTTCATATATCAACATGTGTTTAGGGGTCCAGATGAAGAATTCAAATTAGATCACCAAGGTTTGTGTACGAGAAGTGTGTAAGTCCAGTAATAAAGGAGAGCTCTGCCATTCTGATCCCCATTTCCTCTCACATTTTGTAAAAGTCAGGGACTTACAGGGAAAAATGGAAACACTACATGATTTGCAGGTGTGGAAGCGACGACATGTTTCATGTTGAAAGCGGAAATTATGTAACATTCTTTTGCTTCCACTGTGTGATGAGACACCTAGCTAACAGGTTGGTAGCAGCACTTTCGTCATTCACTGTGTGCGCTGCTAGTAATACGGAGTCATATCAGAGCTTACTGAGCTTCAAAGGGCAAATTGTTGGTGCCCGCTTAGCTAGTGCTTCTGTGACTGAAATTGCTAATTCATATGCAGTGTCACGAGGTACAGTATTAAAGGTTATAACGACATATATGGTTTCCAGGAAAACGTCATCTGATAAGCATAAGTGCGGATGACATGGTCAACTGACTGAAAGAGACAAAAAGGACATTGCACAGGATTGTGACCCGGAATAGGAAAACAGCTGCTGCAAAAGTGACTGCAGAGCTCAATCTTAGTCTTCCAAGGCTCGTGTCCACAAAAACTGTGTGGAGGGAACTCCATAATAAGCAAAACATTCAGGGTAAGCTGCAATTGCCAAAGCACCAGTGACTGATATCAATGCTCAGGAGAGGAGAGAGTGGTGCAACACCCATAAATCATGACCTATCAATCAATGAAAGGGGAACTGAGCTTCACACTGTTCCCAACCACTGGATATGTTTGCATGTGGTGGACACTGTCCCAGGCTTATGATGAGGACTCTCTTGTGCCAACAGTAAACAGTTTGTCATATCTTGGCATTCTGCATGCCCCATCCTCACCCTGCAAGGTAGAGACAAAATTATGGAAACACCGGTTAAAAGAACAAATTTGGACTGCTATTGGCATCCAAAACAGCTTGAATTCTTCTGGGAAATGACAAATAGTCTTTGATGGGGGATAATGGAATCTGACACCATGCAAAAATCATTCCAGTTCTCCCAGAGATGCCAAAGGTGGAAAATGAGCCTGAACCTTGTTCTCCAAAACTGATCATCATAGCTCTATGATACTGAGATCTGGCAACAGTGGCGCCTGTGGAATGTGTGAGATCTTGTCTGCATATTCCTCAAACCACGATATGACAACGCCAGCAGTGTAAATGGAAGCATTATCGTACATGGCACTGTCTTCAGGAAACAATATCTGCACCGTGGGGTGCACATGGTCAGCCAAAGTTTGCTGGCAGGGACTCTACCTTTCAAGGGGATGATGGGGCGTGCAGAATAGCAAGATATGGCTGCCCAAACCATAATTGCATCACCACCATGCTTTACCACTGGAACAAGACAGTCCTGATGGTAAGCTTGGGACCGTGTTCACCACATGAACAGTGTGAAGTTCGATTCATGGGACCATATTACAGTTTTCCATTGATGGATAGTCCACGATTTATGGGTGTTGCACCACTCTCTCCTCTTCTGAACAGTAACCACTTGCCGACCGCAGATAGCCGAATGACGGCTTCACTGCAGCCGGCCAGTTCTGGGAGGACATCATATGACGTCCTCCCAGAACACGCCCTCCCACGTGCACCCGGCGATCTCCGTGATCGCTGTTTCCTACAAACACAACTGATCACGTGATGTGGTAAAAGGCCAATCACAGCGGCCTTTTACCATGTGATCAGCCGTGTCCATTGACACAGCAGATCACTGGTAAATGCAGTTGCCGGTTATCGGCTGCACTTTCCTCACGCTGTCACAATGTGAGGAAAGTACTGCCGATTACCGGCAATTGTTAGAGGGTGGGTGCAGTGTTGCATGACTGCGCAATTGTTAAAGTACGATAGCACTGAAAGCTGAAAATTGCCTGGGCAGGAAGGGGGTAGAAGTGCCGGGCAGGCAAGTGGTTAATATTGGTCACTAGTAGTTTGGCAATTGCAGCTCGCTCATGAACATTTTGCTTGTGGAGTTCCCTCTGCACAGTTTTTGTGGACACGGGTTTTGGAAGGCTGATCTCTGCAGTCACTTTTGCAGCTGGTTTCTTATTCCGGGTCACAATCCTGTGCAATGTCCTTTTGTCTCTTTTGGCCAGTTGACCGCGCTTATGCTCGTCAGATGACATTTTCTTGGACACTGTATATGGTGTCATAACCTTTGATACTGTACCTCGTGACACAGCAAATAGATTGGCAACTTCAGTCACAGAGGCACCAGCCAAGCGGCACCAACAATCTGCCCTCTTTGAAGCCCAGTAAGCTCTGACATGACTCCGTATTACTAGCAGTGCATGACACAAGTGAGGCTTACCTCCTGTTAGCTAGGTGTCTCATCACACAGCAGAAGCCAGAATGTTACATCATTTCCGCTTTCAAAGTGAAACGTGGTCACTTTCACACCAGCAAATCATGTAGTGTTTCCATATCTTTGTCCAACCCCTGTATATCTGAGCAATTCATTCAATGTGTATCACATCAGGTGGCTCCTGCACTAGTAGTTGATGGTAAATCTAAGGAAGACTGAACAATTAGATTGTACAATGTATGGTCACCTTAAAAGAATATAAAACCGTCAACATTGAGCTCAGAGGGCATGCAGGCGATGGAGGGGCTGCCAGGGCTCCACTGTACAGCCCCGGTCTGAGCTGATATCACGTACAACGTGAGCAGACTGAGCCACAGATAGCACATATCAGACAGAGGCGATCATCCTGCACAAGGGGGCAGCATCGCTTCCCACACCCCCAGGCCGCTCTACTCACCATCTTGTTCTTCTTGTTGGTCTGTCTCTTCAGTCTCCGGCCATCCCGGCGCTGCTCCTTGAACACAGCATTGAAGCCATTCACATCCTGATTGACATACCCGCCTTCCTTCTTTTTCTTCTTCCTGGGCGGCTGAGCAGACCTTTCCTGGCCGGCCTTCCCCAGCTGTTCCCATGGGTGGCCGCACACACCTTGCGGTTCCGGCTTGGAGCGTTCACATGTCCGGGACGAGCCCACCGAGTCATCTCTACTCCACACTGTCCGCTGTACAGGACTAAACTGGAAATACGTCCCTGCACGGCCGGATGGACGGCGCTCAGAACACATTGTAAAAGGCTGCCTCGGCCGCCATCTTTGCTGTGGGCAGTTGGCGTTCAAAGTGTTATAGGATGTCTATTCTAAATCCCTGATCGAACATGTCATACATTTCAGCTGATCATTCCTTAGCTGTGATGGCTATTAGCTTTATTTTCTTCGGCTAAGAACTTTTGCTGCAAGCATGAAGAGATAACAGTTGATTCTGCCAGAAATTCAGTGTACCTTTAAAGTGTAACTAAAGGCAAAACTTTGCCTTTCTATGTTGAATAGAGTAATGGAGGGTTATAACTGCTGTCAGCTTTTTTTTGCAATCTGTGTCCCACTGAGGAGATTTTCCTTCACTTCCTGTCCCATAACCAAAACAGGAAGTGAGGAAATTCCACCCAAATGAGGGAATCCCTGGTTGTCCCCAGACTAGTGTCCCTATTGGAAGATTTTCCCTCTATTACTGTTCTGATGACAACTGAAAATGTGGGATTTTCTTTTACTTTCATTTTTTTATGACAACAGTAAACAGGACAAATGGAGAGGGTGACTCTCCCTAAGGCTAGGTTCACACCTGTGCAGGTTGCGTTTGAACCGTTTCTGCATTGCGTTTTACATTTTTGAACCTGCATTTGTGATGCGTTTTTTGATGCATTTTGCGGTTTTTAAATTTTTTTTCTTGTTGCTAGGCAGATTTAAAATGCATAAAATATGCGGCAAAAATGCACTACATACTTTTTTGCAGCGTTTCCATTGAAGTCTATAGAGCCAAAACGCAACTTTTTTAATTCATAAAAGTCCCTGGCCCTTTCCAAAAAACGTACCGAGTGAAAACGAGAGATGTAAACCTGTCCCATAGGAAATCATGTTAAATGGACTCTGCTGCTGCGTTTCTGCAAAACGTTGCGGAATACACTTGGTGTGAACCTAGGGTAACAAGGACACTGATAGCAATAGAAAAATAGATGTTCTAATCCATCTCCACTCCAAAAGTAAAAAAAAATCAAGTTACTTACGTAATGTCTTTTCCGGGAGTCTTTCAGGCCAGCACCTTGAGAGACCTTGGCTCCTCCCCATCTGAGGAAACACCTCCACCCTAAAATAAAAGACCTCCACTCCCCTCCGACCTCAGTTTCTCCAAACATCCTCCAGTCACCTGGGGAGACACAACGTGAGAGACAACGTAATCATAACAAACCATGCTCACATAATCCATATCAACACTGGGTGGGAAACCGGTGCTGGCCTGAAAGACTCCCGGAAAAGACGTTACCGTAAGTAACTTGATTTTTCCCCTTACGTCTTTCAGGCCAGCACCTTGAGAGGATAAGCGAGTACTCACCCCTCGGGCGGGCTAACTGCTTGCAAGACCTTACGACCAAAGGCCTGCTCCTGCACCGAGACCAGGTCCAACCTGTAATGTTTGGCAAACGTGTCATAACTGGACCATGTTGCCGCTCTGCAGATCTGCCCCGGGGACGTCCCTGCAAATTCAGCCTGAGTAGCTGCCACCGCTCGGGTGGAATGCGCCCTGATACCTTCCAGAACCTCCAGGCCTTCCGCCTGGTATGCTCCAGTAATTGCCAACCTCAACCAACCTGCCTGCGTCCTTCTGGACGCCTTTTTTCCTTTTCTAGTTCCCTTGAAAAAAACAAAAAAGGATTCGGTGCTCCTAAACTCCCTAGTCCTTTCTAGATATTGGAGTACGCACCTTCTGACATCTAATAAATGAAATTTTTCCTGATCACCCCCAACCAGGTCAGGAAAAAAACGAGGGAAGGACTATGTCCTGTTCCCTCTGGAATCTCTGTGCCACCTTCGGGATGAAGGATGGGTCCGTCCTGAAAACTACCCTATCCGGAAAAACACGGAGATAGGGCGACCTGATTGATAATGCTTCCAGCTCACACACCCTCCTTGCTGTGGTGACCGCTACCAAGAAGGCAGTCTTGACGGTGAGTTCGCCAATCGAGCAGGACTCCAGGGGCTCGAATGGCGTCCTCGTCATCACACCAAGTACCTTGGCCAAATCCCACATCGGAAATGGTCTGGCCCTTGGAGGCCTCTGTCTCACTAGAGCTTTAAAGAATCTAGCTACCAGCGCCTCCCTGGCCAGGGGTGTCTCCAGGAACACGCTGAGAGCAGAGATCTGTCCCTTGAGCGTGCTGATAACCCCTTGTCAGCCCCTGCCTGCAGAAATTCTAACACAGACACTAAACTGTGGGTCGCCAGCGACATCTGATCACACCAAGCTGCAAAGCGACCCCAGACCCTACTGTAAATGGCCTGGGTCTCCTCTTTCCTACTGGCCAGTAACGTGGACACTAGCCTGGGCGAAAAACCCTTCCCTAATAGGAGCTGCCGCTCAGAAACCAAACGGTTAACCTCAACTTCCTCACGTTGGGGCAAAGGACCGGTCCCTGTGACAACAAATCCTCCCTTGGTGGCAGCTCCCAGGGTGGATGGGAGGCTAAACTCCTCAGTGTCGCGAACCAAGCCCTCCGTGGCCAGAAGGGAGCTATCAGAATTAATGAGGTCCCCTCTGTTCTGAATTTCCTCAAAACTAGGGGAAGCAAGGGAACCAGGGGGAAGGCGTAACACAGCCGGTAGTTCCACTTTTGACTCAGCGCGTCCACCGCCCTTGATCCGTCCCAGCGGGACAGGGAAAAGAAGGCTGGGACCTTGTTGTTCCTTCCCCGAGGCAAAAAGGTCCACGTCCGGGGATCCCCACCTCAGCACAATTTCCTGAAACACCTCGGGGTTCAGGGCCCATTCTGATTCCCTGAGCCGTGTTCTGCTCAGAAAATCTGCTTTCCGGTTTAGCTCTCCTCTCAAATGTACTGCAGGCAGGATGCCAAGGTCACCTCTGCCCAGGACAAGAGCGTTGCTGCTAAGGCTCCAAGGGCCCTGCTCCTTGTCCCCCCTTGCCTGTTTACATACGCCACTGTCGTGGCATTGTCCGATAGGACTCGCACATTGTGGCCCGTGATTCTCATCTGGAAGGCCTGAAGAGCCTCTGCCACTGCCCTCAGCTCCCTCCAGTTCGAGGACCTGTTCCTCTGCTCCCAGGACCATTCCCCCTGAGCCACTAATCCTCCCAGGTGGGCGCCCCATCCTTTGGAGCTGGCATCCGTCGTGACCTCCCTGGACACTGGGAAGCACCATAATAACCCCTGGGTTACACTGGACGACCTTCTCACCACCACAGCGACCTCTTTACACTGGGGGGAACCAGGACTCGGTCCTCTAAGGAGTGAGCACTCCCGTCCCAAACTCTCAGGACCCATAACTGGAGGGGGCGCATATGTAGACCTGCCCATTGCACTGCCGGGATGGAAGCCGTCAGTAGACCCAGCACTGACATGGCCTGCCTTATCGCTATGGCCTGTTTCCCTGCACCAGTCTGATCCCTGCCTCTAATTTGGACACCTTCTCCGAAGTCAGGCTGACCCTCTGACCCACCGAATCCAGAGTGTAACCCAGATAAACCATCCTCTGAGAAGGCACCAGACAAGATTTCTCTAGATTTACCATCCACCCAAGGTTTTCTAGATGGCCCTGCACTATACCCAGATTCCGCAGAAGGTGAGCCTCTGAATCTGCGAAGAGCAGCAAGTCGTCCAGATAGGCTATCACTGGAATTCCCTTCAAACAAATAGGAACCAGTGCCTCTGTCAGAACCTTGGTAAAAATTCTCGGAGAGGAGGACAGTCCGAATGGAAGAGCCCTGAACTGCCAGTGTTGCACTCCTCCCCCCCCTCTCCCTCCACTGCCAACCTGAGGAACTGCTGAGAAGTTTCCGCAATGGGCACGTGCAGGTATGCGTCCTGCAGGTCTATGGATGCCATAAAAGACCCTGGCGGGATCAGGGACCTGACCATAAACATAGACTCCATATGGAACCTCCGGTAACGCACAGACCTGTTGAGGGGCTTTAGGTTCAAAATCAGCCGGAATGCTCCAGACGGCTTTTGAACCAGAAATACATGGGAGTACACCCCCTTCCTTTGTTCCCTTTCTGGGACCCTGACTATGACCCTTCGGTCTTCTAGATCCTCTAAGGCATTGATCAGGGCAGCGGCCATCGCCGAGTTTCTCGGATGCGTCGTCACCATATATCTCTCGGGCGGTGTCCTTACGAACTCCACCCGATAACCCCTTCTGATAATATCCAGAATGAAGGGGCTGGCAACCACCGCTTCCCACTGCGGGAGGAAGGCCGCCAATCTTCCTCCCACAGGAGGCACCGAGTCAGTGCGGTTTCTGGGGCTGCTCAGGAGGGCGAAAAATCGCCCCCTCCCCTGCCCCGACCTCTCTGTCCTGTAGGCCTACCCTGGCCCACCGGTCTCAGGCTCAGTCTCTTTAATGGACAGGCCCTACGTGTCCCTCCCTCCGGCAACTTCCTCTTGAGGGGAAAAGATTTTTTCTTGTCCGCCGTCCAGTCCAGCAATTCCTCCAACCCTGGGCCGAACAGACAATCTCCTGTGAGAGGGATACGGCACAGTCTGACCTTGGAAGTGATGTCCCCTTGCCACGTTTTTAACCATAGTGCCCTCCTAGCCGAATTGGTGAGAGCCGCTGACCTAGCCCCCAACCTCACCGACTCAGCAGAAGCATCCGCAATATATCCTACCCCCTGTAGAAGGGTCTCAAAAGAGGCCAGGATCCTTTCCTTGGGGGAGTCCGCCACTATATGGGCCTGCGACTGAGTAAGCCAGTACTCCAGGTTTCTGGCTACCACCGTCGAGGCCATGGCCGGTTTCAGATTGTACAGGGTTGAGTCCCAGGCTTTTTTAAGGAGGGATTCCGCCCTCCTATCCAGCAAATCTGGTAGAACCCCCATGTCCTCAAAAGCCAGGTCTGTCCTCCTAGTTGTTTGGGAAAAGGCCGCGTCTAGCTTGTGGTTCTTGTTCCACACCGCCGCGGGGTCCTCACTAAACGGAAACCGTCTTTTTAACGTTTTAGAGAAGAAAGGCTTCCTCTCT